GGCACGACGTCCTTCGCCTGCTCGGGGGAGCTGTGCCCGAAGCAGCTGTGGGGCTCGAGGTTTCTTTTGCTTTCGGTGGCCGTTGCTGGGTTGACTCTTTTTTAAATTGTAACTTGCTGTTTTCTCTCATGCGTTTTGAACAGAGCCCTACTTCAGTAAGAGTGGCATTTGAGAAATGTTAGTATTTGTCATTGCGTTAAAAGACAGTTTTTGCTTGACCACGAGTTTTATCACAAAACTGTAAAAATGGAAATATGTGGAACTTTACATTGTCCTATACAGCACCGGGGCTGCAGGCAACTTTCTGTGTTTGTGGGTCATAAGCATATGGTAAAGGTTGCTTTGAAAACGTGACGTACGAAACAGAGCCATGGTCCATAGTTATATTGTCTTGTTGTTGGCTCTGCTGCCATTGCTGTTCTTTAAGTGACACTGTGGAAAACAACTCATCTGATATTTGCAGACTAATGGACTGTAGTCTGTGTTTAAAATAAGGAGATGTAAGAAGGGTGTTCAGCTCTGACCCATCAGGCTCAGCATAGGAAGATTACAGAATACTGTATATCACATTGTCAGATTAATAGTATGAACAAAATCTTCTGGAAATTGGTTTAATTTCCTAACCTTATTAAGAAAAAATAGATAGTTCCTGAAAATAATTAGTTTTTTTAATCTATGATGTCAAAGCTCTTGGAAAGCTAAGGAAATTGCAAATCTCTGCAATTAAAATGCAATACAAAAGCTACATAACTGTGTGAAAAAGCATATCCCTTAAATGCAATTGCTGTCTTTTGTAGGAGAAAACTGACATAGAAGGGACGTTGTTTGTGTACAAAAGGTAAGGGGTTTTTTTGTGAGGGAGTGGGTGGGGCTTCATTTTCCTTCCTTAAGAAAACAAACCTCAGATGGCTTCATGTGTAGCTTTCATACTGGATGTAGTGCATCCAGTAAATTCATAATTACTTATTTGTCCAGCTGTTAACATCTATATACTCGTTTGAAAAGAATAAATTCTGCACATAGGTGAATAGCTCTGTCAAAAGCACCTAAAAGTACTGCTGAAATACCATAAAACTTGATGAATGCTACATATGTATCCACACAAAAGCCTAGTTTATTAAGCTAATTTTGTTAATCCAATAGCATTTGTTAATGTATTATGTTTGTTAAATGCTGGATCTTCCTTTGTCTCCTAAAATCCATAAAGTTGATTCTGAAAACAATAGTGATAACAAATTAAGTAGTCTGTCCTAACTTAGTGTTGGGAAATGGCATAATTTTTGTAAATGGACAAAGTTGCCTAAAAGCTGGAGATCTGCTAGTAGTTTTGGGGTTTGCTTGCTTGCTTGATGTTTTCTTTTTCCACCTGGTGACTAGAAAAAAATCTACACAATAAAAATTGTTTCACTAAGCAATACAATTCTGAATAATTTAATGTCTACTTTGAGGACACTGGGTTAAGTATTTATTTTAAGAATCTCCCTTTAGGAAGAAACTAATGCTTTTGGTTCCCCTGTATGTGTCTTTCATGTTATTTAAGCTAACAGCTTTTTTTTATTGTTGTACCTATTTACAGTAAGATGGATGTTGCTCCATAAGTGGCTTGTTTTTTCTCCTCTAGTAAAAGATTCTAAAATGGCTCAAAATTATCTTACGTGAAGTGTTGAATACACTTGCATTTTAATCCTGGACCTGCCCTAGTGTTTCTGAATAGGGTTTTTTATTTTGAGCCATAACTTTGATCCAGCAGTTTAGCAGTGTAGAACTGTAATGTTAATTCTAATCCTACTTTGAGGTACATGTAGTTTTAAATTGAAATTAGTTGGCATGCCAAGAAATGGCATAGAAGAACAACTATAAGAGCTTCAGGACTGCTAAAGCTTCACCTAATAAAGCAATAGAGATTTGAAGATTAATTCATAACTCTGTTTCAGAAAATTGTATACATTGATCAAGGTATTAATCCTTATTTTTGTTTTAATTAAAACAATAGGTCAGCTTCTCCTTATCACGGTTTTACGATAGTGAATCGACTGAACATGCACAACCTGGTTGAACCAGTAAATAAAGATTTGGAGTTTCAGCTCCATGAACCTTTTCTTCTCTACAGAAATGCTAGCTGTGAGTATAACTTTCTTTAATCCATATAAATTTCATGTTCTGTTTTATAACCTAGACTGCTTCTGATTATTGTGATGTCTGTTTCAAGTATAATGGAATGGGCAAGTTCCAGTGAGATGTCTGATGATATTTTCTGTCTACAGTGCTAGATTTACTTTAATAGCTGTGCTATTATATTATGATGACCACCTTCTTTCTATAAAAAGAGGATACGCTAACAAAGTTCAATATTTCTGTAGTCTTTTTAATTAACGATCTGATAGGTTTAATCTAAACATATACACAGTACTATAGCATGAATAAAAAACTATGAAAAAATAATGAAAGTTGATAGATTTTTGAAAGTATTTAACTGCAAAAACAGTTCGTGAGGGCTTCCTCTTTTGTGAGCAAAAAACTAAATATTAATCAGTAGCCGCTTGAAGAAGCTGAGAAAATTGCTCAGCTCTAGGTTAAAGGTTTCTTTCTCCACAGTAGGTTTTGCACTCAGGAGATAGATGTCTGTACTAAATTTGCTGGAGTCTAGACTCCAGCAAGTCTGGGTGTTGGGATAGTTGTTATACAGATCAGCGGTAAAACGGTAGTCAGTATCTCGCTGCTTTTTGAGTTCTACTAGTGTTTTGGGTCATCAGTTGAGCTTTAGAGTCCTGGTGTACTGTGTTCCAATTAGGTACACACTAAAAATTCTGTAACTCCAAAGAGCACAAAGTATAAATTATGTAGCCCTTAAGGAGAGGAAGTATATGTGAATATGAAATCCACATTAAGTAGGTAAGGGCACCCCACAGGTGCCTCCTGATACAAAGGTATCATTTCATATCCTCTTTTTTACCAAAGTTCTTGCGACCAGTTTGCTGCTGTCTAGTGACAGGTTCCCCTTACTAAATTACTCAGAGACTCTATATGCTGTCTGGATACAGTGCTTCTTCCACACCATGCCTTCTTCCTGTCAGAATGTCCCCTTGAATTACAGATAGGAACACTGCTTTGGCTATGCTTTAGTGTACCTAAAAAAACCAGTCAAATGTTATTCCCTTCCTGTTTCCCCCCTGGAAAGTCTCTAGGATCTGTGGGGAGTAGGATAGATTCCATTATGGTGACAAAGAACAGCTTAAAATAGGTGGTCTCCTCTGCTTAACAGTCTTAGCAATCCTCCTTCTGTAAGTGTCATCAAGAGGAAAAAGTCAAAACTTCTTAGTAAGTTGAGCAGTCTATAAGATAAGGGAAGTAAATGACTGGCAAGAAATTGGGAGGGGAAACAATATTGCATTGAGTTGGATGTTTAAGCAGGTTGCTTGGTTTGGAAGGTAGAGGAGCTGTAGATAATGGTGGTAGGGGTAGGGTGGCTGATGAGGTGGCAGTAGAGGAAAGAATCATAGTTGTGAGATTGGTGACATGAGGGAAGCAGGCAGTTGATTCATTTGTTTGTTTGAACTGCTGATGATATCAGGAAGCAGGAGCTGCTGTGGAATTACCATGGTGTATGCTAGTGGCAGTGACTAGCGAATTACTTAAAGGAAGCAATTGGAGAAGGTAGACTGTGTGAGTTCATTAGAAACCCCTAAATCTAATTATATGCCTTCCATTGATAAAAGCTCTCCTTTTCCTGTGAGTCACTATTGTGTAAGATCTGTGGGAGGCTCATGGGAGTTAGGATGAAAATGACGTAGAAAAGTATGAGCAAGGAAGAAATTCATACAAAGGTGAGCAGGGAAAATGTTATAGGCTGGATATGGGAAATAATTGCATTCTGAAGTAATCAAGAGCTTTTTTTTTTTTTTTATATCTTTCCCATTGTCATTTTAAAAGAGTTTGGTCAGAAACTGTCCTTTATTTTGTCACTCTGTCCTGCCTCCTGGGAGAGGGTAGTAGCATGTCCAGAAACAGTCTACACTGATTGTAAATTGAAAATGTTCAGTGTAGTTAGTAGGTCATTAGTTGTTTCCCTGAGTGCCACAAATAAGCAGCAGATCAGTTTTTGTGTGCTCTGCTAGTATTCACTTAGTTCAAATGCAAGCTTAAAAGCATAGAAAACAGCATCTAAGCTTTTTATTCTTTATGACTTCAGCACCGCTAACTGTCTTACATTTTGCATTTAATTGTTGTGGTTTTATTTTCTTCTTTACATGCAGTTTCCCAAATTTTCTGACCTCTGTCCCCTGAATTAGCTAGGAAAAAAGCAAATTAAATGATCGAATGTTCAGTGTTAAAGCAGTTTGCCTCTATCTGCATAGTATTTGTGAAACTTGGAGGGGAGGGGAACAAAACAAAAAACCCCTAAAAACCCTTCAGGATTGTTTTGGATTTATAGACAAATCTCAGTATGTATATGTTTTATTTTTATGGGTTGATTAGGGAATTCTTGTCCAAGTTCTTTTCATGTGGAAGGGTCTTCACTTCTGCTCAGCAGCCTGCTGGCATGAGAAACTTTTGCTTTTTTGGGACTAATTCAGATACGAGTTTTAAGCCAGTGGTTAATGTAATATATCTCTAAGGGCTTAATGTGGTGTACCTCTGATGGCTTAATGTAAAGTTCTTCTGAGATCCTTTAATGACTGAAAGAGGATGGACTGCTAGGTTGTGCAAGGAAAATCTACCTCCCATACAGATTGTTGGGAAACAGCCCCGTTTCTTGTAGAGTGTGGTTTTTGTCTCTTGCTTGAGGAAGTCTGCCATGATCATTAGAAACTCTTAAGAGTAAGTTGTCCTGCTATTGTTCAATCATTGTTGAATGATTGAACTGATGATTCAGTTTCCTTAGCTTACAGATGGTGAATGGTTCAGGCTACCCGATTAAAAACCGAAAATCGTGTTTATTAATACTGCTGTTTGGCAGACACAAACGTGTGTTGTGCCTATATATTTTGGTTGTAACAGGGTCAATGACAAATCGTGGTTAACACTTCCCCAGGGCATTGCAGTAGAAACAGTAGAAGATGACCAAAGCAAAATTATGCCACCACTTACTCAGGGAAGGTTCCATGTCAACAGCCTTTATAACTGAATATGATTCTACTGTTTTATAAACTTAACATTTTCTCTTTATTCTGTGATTCTGTCTTAAGGAGATGATAAAGGCAAAGTCTGTTATGTATACCAGATCAGACCTCTGGCATTTCTGTCTTAAATGGCATGAGAGTTGTTCTGACTATATCAAGTGATGTACTCCAGCCTATGTATTGCTGCTAACAAGTTACATGAGAAACTTTGCAAGGAGTATATAAACTTTATTTTAGCTTGGGTGGAGGCTATAAGAATGAGTTGCCTGTCATGCTAGATTATAATATTTGTGGTGGGGTTTACCATTCTTTTATGGTTTGATTTATTCAAATACTTGTTTTTAATATACAATGGAATCTTTAGTTTGCTGCATATCAGAACTTACTCTTGTTAAGCTGTAGACATGAGATCCTTTATTGCACAAAGGCTTTTTATACTCTTAGAACAAGACTAGGTTATTGCCATTTTATCCTCATGGGAAAGGAGGCCTGACTTATCTTTCATAGATGTTGGGGCAGTTTCCCCCTGTTTTTGCAGGGTGGGGTATGAAGGAGGCTTTGTGTATTCTGGAAGGAGGCTAGACCAAGTGATACAGTACCATTCTTATATCCACCTTTTGTTGTGTTCACTGAGTGAAATGGAAGACATTTGGGTCAACTTGCTATTCTGGTTAAATGTAAGACACAGAGAGGCTTCCCCTTCCCTTTCCCCCCACCCTTGAAAATAATACCTTTTTAATATCTTAGCTGTTAATGGGGAAATCTTTCCCAACTCCAATTTTTTTTTTTCTCATAATCATTCTGGCTACATAATACAATTCAAGCCCCAAAAGAATACTTAAACCCGAAATTTTGAGAGAGGCTATGTTTGCTTTCAAAGTTATATACGATGCTGCCCAAAAACTTACACCATTTGTTCATGAGGCATCAGATCCTAAAGCAAAAATTAGGGGGTGGGGTGCAGAGGGGGGGATGTGACTAAGGAGCTGTGAGACATTATACCAGTTACAGTGGTAAATAGGAAAAAAAGGTGTGCTACTTTTCATTGTTAGAGAGAATTAAAGAAAACAAATATCTCCAAATGTGATCAAGAAATTATGGAAATTAAAAGAAATTGTTTGACTTCAGGTAACATTCCTCTTCAGGTAGAATTTTTTTAGATTATACTTCATACTTAATCTGGAATATGTGTTGCCGGGTACATTTGATTCTTGTCTAGCTTTCCCTCTGGATGCATGCACATTCTCTAGAGTATTCAGAGTATTTGTTCTTGAAGCACTGAATCCCATTGACCCATTTTTTTTTAATGAACCTAAGCTAGTTTCGTCTTTTCTGTATTTTGTGGAAACATATGTTAAACTGTATTTAAAAAAAATGCATACAGTTCTGCAAGTAGCAGTAATAATAGTCCACTCTGCAAGTTATACTTACTTTCAATCTGTAATGTGAGAGTTTGGAGCTGGCAGTTGATAGTTTGCTTAATAATAGAGGAAAATTAGTCAAAGTTTTAAGCAATGGCCAACTTACCTCTTAAAGTCTGCAAGAAGTATTCTTCTAAGTCTTTCTCGTTTGTAACTTTCCCTCTGTATTGGTGGTATTGGTCTTGATTAAAAGGTTTTTTAATCCAAGCTAGTTCACTTGGGAGGCCAGGCAGATTGATTTCCATGGTGCTGAAAAGACAGATGCTAAGCATAAAACTTCAGTATTAAAATAAATGGTTCTTGTTTGGTGTGGTGTTTTTTTGATTTGTTTGTTTTTCTTGCTTGCTGCTTATTCCTTTCCAAGGGTAAAAGTTAGGAAAACAAAAATCATAGATTTTGGAGAGGTTTATACATTTAAGTAGAAAACTTGGTTACAAAGTGCTGTCTTCTGGGCTTGTTGTATTACCATTAATTAAACAACCTTGTATTCAGAACAGCCAAAGCAAAATGAATTGCGTTATTTCAAATGGCTTTTAAAATGCTTTGTAAGAGCTCCTGACTGGTTTCAAAACAGGGAATCTTTACTGGTAAGGAAAGGTCCCTCATTATCGCATTTGTTCCTGGCTGGCAGTGCATTAAGTATAACATATCTCTGTGATTGCCGAAGCTGAACGGCTCTCCAGCAAGTGCATTAACCCAGTGGTTTAGTCAGAGATAAGGACGGAGCCTGTTCCTGATACCTTTATAGCAGAAGCAGCAATGCAAGCAAGGGGGAGGGGAGGCACCACTGAAAGCTGTTAAGGAGTTCTAAAAATATTTTGTTTGACCTGAAAGATGGCACTCTAACTGGAAGGGGGTTTCCACTCTGGTTCGGTGTTGCAAAGTAGTAATCCCTCTCATTCCACACTATCGTTTGTCAGATGGCAGTTTGTTAAAGTGTTTCTGATCTTGGATGCTGTTTGCCACCTGCTGAGCTACTCCAGTGTGACTGCTTGTGGGATTGTGCTGTGAACTGTATTTTTGAAATGGCCTTAGATATCCAAAACAATAAGGAAGGGAGGGGCTTTTTTTATTAATTCTAATGATTTATAAATGTATGTGGCAGGCTAATATTTAAATTAAGGAAAATATGAGTAGTGAAGGCGGTATTAGAGCAGAGGTGGCATTTCAACTAACCTTGCTACTGGAAGAAATAGGAGCTTTGAGAGAGATAGCATTTAGACAAAAGCACATAAAGCAATTTGAAGTGCGAAATAATGCATGTATGTGCTTTTCTTTATGGGAATAAGATTGGGTTAAGTTGATTTCCATGATTACTTTATAGGATGGGTTACAAAATATGAGTCCTTCATTTCCAGAGAGAGTTTGAAAGGTTATTGTCTCCCACCTCCGGTTGTTCTGCTTCATTGTATAGCAACATCTAAATTGGAACTGTAAAGTAAAATTTTTCTGTCTTCTGTCAGGTCTTCCAACTAGTTACGGTAACTTTTAAACAATTCATATTTTTGAATGACATGAAGCTATATTTGCACAAATGGCTAAATTGCCTAAGGCAAGAGAGTGATAGTGTTTGCAGTCTGAAACTGGCACTGCTCATGAGTTCCATGTACACTTCTGGCACAGCATTCTCAGGCTACGGTTTCATGAACATTTAAACAATTTTGCCTTAGTGTACTGCCCCCAGCTTCTTGTTTCTGCCCCCTCCGCTGTGCTAGATGGCATGTTTGTGAAGCTGATGTGCAAACAGTGTTGAGGAACTGGTCTGGACTAAAATGTATCCAGCTGCCATAAGGGAGAAGGGTGAACTGGGGTAGAATGAGTTAATGGCAAAGTTTTGGGAATGTAAAGGTGGTGACACTGCTTCTTTCTGCTTACTTAAAATGAAAAGTGAAGTGAAACTACACCTTTGGGATGTGACTTCATTTTATGTTGCCAAGGAGTGAGGCCTCTGTCTCACTGTGGCACTTTGCTATCCCCACTCTTCATTCAGATCTACTAACTGGGCAGCACTGGAACAGTAAGCTGACTGCCCAATGAAGCAATGGGAGCAAATGTAGAAGAGACTAAGACCTTCCTTTTGCTGTCATCTGTCTGTTAGACTTGAGCAGGCAGACTTCCATAATGCTTTTGTTTTCTCAAAATGTCTTTGTTTTTCCATAACAATTTCAATCAAGTTTTAATGATACATCCAGTCAAGTTTGGAGAGAAGTTGAGTGTTACATGTTTAGATAAATATGCATGGGTCAGTGTCTCTAATAAAAATTACATATGTCAAAGAATGTAGAAGATGACTGATTTCTTTCAATTTTAGGAAATCTGATTTTTCTGTGATATGGGTTACCCATGACTTCATGTGTGTCAAAATGTAGTGTGAATCCAACCAAAAGATACTGGATTACTAACTGCTTCTACTTGATTACTAAAGATGCTGCCCAGCATTCAGTGTAGAAAAGCTGGGTGGAAAGTGTTGAACTAGATCAAAAAAGTGAGTCACATAATTTAATGGCTTCTGCTGGATGAAACTCTTAAAACTCTTCTTCTTAAAAGAACGGCAGTAGAAAGGTATGCCGTTAGACATATGAATGTTCAGATAATGTTTATGCTGGCTATAGTAAAAAGATCACAGATTTGAAAAGAACTGATAAGTACCAACTCTGGTTTTAATAAAAGGATGTTCATAGCTAAAGTTGTATGCATATAAGAAATATATCAAATATGGTAATGCAGTTTGGACACACACACATGCACACATACTTCTGGGGCAAGGGAGCTGAACTGATAGTACAAATGAGCCCTCTTTTGAAAAGAGGAAGGTAAACATTCCAGCCTGTTGGACCATATCTAAGTTAATGCCCAAGTTTACTTGTTCATAATCTGCTTTACATCTCTGTAATACTGTTAATGTTTTGCAGTGAATCCCTATGATTGCTTGCCAGTAGTACAAAGTGGAAAAAAGCCTGATACTCTGTACACCAAACTGAGATTTGGATCTGCTTCTGGCCTTGTGTAGGCCTGTTTCTGGCAGAATTGAGTGTGACTTTTATCATTTGTCCCATTAAGATACCCTTACAGGTTCCTTATCTTCATTTCTTTAGCAGGTATGCTTTTGAAGCAGCTTTCTTCTCTTGGCAGTTTGTCTGATAATGGAGAAAGGGAAGGCAAAGAGCTTTTCTTCAGTGTTAAAATATGCTGTGTGACTCAAGAAGCTCAAACTGGAAATGCTTCCAGGTTTCTATGCAGTAGCCACTTGTATTAAACTGTATCCAAGTTGTATTAAACTGTAAATATTAATAAAAATTTTGTAAGCATTGGCTATAAGTGTGAAATGCTTTTTTATTGGCTTATGCCTTTTGTAAGAAGGTTCCTTAAATTGTGCTGTATTGATTTCTTTGTTTATGACTTGAAAGCTTTGTTGTTACTTAAGCTGTAGCTTCTAAAGAAACAAACACCCAAATGAATATAGTTGTTTAATAAAATAAACAAAAAAGAAGAGTAGAACTGCAGTTTGTCTTAGGGTATTTTTATAGAAATAAGGTGTGGGCATGACTTTTTGAGGGTTTTGGTCCAACACAGTAAGCCTAGGATAACTGGAAGGTTTAGAAAAAAGTTTGGTAAATGACTGCCTTTTTTTCCATGGCTTGAAATAATTTTGAGTGGTCTTTGGTTGAGACTTCGGCGGGGGGAGCAGGGAAGGGAGAATTTAACTTCAAAATAGAAATCTACATCTGGGTGGAAAAGGTTATGTTGGGTTTCTTTAACATTCCTTTCCTTTACTTTTAAGTCATATTTTTATAATCAGTTAGTGATTTCAACTTCATAAAAACCAAATAGCAGTATAAAGAAGAGGCTTTAAAAGGCTAAAAGTATCTTTTCAGAAATTAAAATATTTTAATGGTAACGTACACAAAGTGTTCAGTTGCCTTTGATGTACTTGCACGCTATGCATTGATGAACTTCATAGGTGAAGCAAGATTTAAATAACCTGCTTTGTGGGTTAGATTAAATACAATTCTGAAAAGAATTCTGCAGATTTGTTGTGTTGGCACAACTGTGGGCACAGTAAGGAGATGAGTATGTGTGTGGGTAAAAATGGCTGCTTTGAAGTGGGGTTTCTGATTAAGAAATACTACATGGCACTACTGACAGTTTCTCCCTCTGATGGAGAATCTGTCAGCTCAGAGATTGGGCTCTAACTCTGCCAACTTTCAGTGGAATTTTACTTATTCTGAAAGCCAGAATGGGGCTTAGTGTCTTGCTGAGCCGGAACCCTTTTGCCCTTATTGCTTTGTCCTTGATAACTCTCTTAGAGTGGGGTTCAATTTGAGTCTAGTTTTAAGTTGCTCCATGAATGTGACACTATGACTGGAGCTTTGGTACCGCTTCCTTCCTGTACAATTACTTCTCTTGTGAAAAGAATTTGGAAAGGGAACCTCCCAGGGAGTCCCTGACTGAACTGTGATACGCAATTCAAACTTTTAATATTTTTGTTGAGCTTCAAAATTTGACAAATTTAAAAATTAGTGTTTTTTTAAAAAATACGGATATTGTTTAGCCTAGTTTAAATCATAAAGTCAGTAATTCAAAACAGAAGGTTGCAACTGTAGTGAGAAGGCATCTGGTAGTTAAAACTTAGTTTTCTTGCCACTTTTATTTACAAACAGTATCAACATATTGTAGTTATTGCATTTAATCTGACTGAAGTTGTATTTGTGTTTGCACTTGTGCTATTTCTGATCACTTTATAAATAGTAGTCAGTCACACACAGAATATTTGAGTGGAAATTGATGGTAATTTATATGTTGCAGACCTAATGGACTGCCCGTTTTTTGCTTTTTTTCCTATTGATTTGATTTTTTTTTTAAACCTTTGTCTTATGCTTGCTTTTTTTTCTTATTTTCAAGTGTCAATTTACAGTATCTGGTTTTACGACAAGAATGACTGTCATCGAATAGCAAAACTCATGGCTAAGTAAGTACTGTGGTCTTATTCTGTAATTCTTTTGTGTAATACAGAAAAAATACTGAATCTATTAAAAGTGTCTGTGCATTTTCTCACTCAAATAGAAAAATACAACATTCTTGCTGGTACTGTTTATTTAGTAATCAAAACATTGGGTTTGTTTTTAAACTACAGCGTTAAAATTTTGAGTTCAGTGGCAAAAAAATCAGTTGAAGTATTAGTTGGCATTCTCCAAAGAAAGCAAATATGAGCACCGTTTGTTTATTTTATACTTTATTTTGTATAGGGATGCTGGCAGAACATCTTCTGATGCAGAAAGTATAATCAAATAAGTGATGGACATGGTTTTTTGGTTGTTTTTATGGTTTGTTTGGTGGTTGTCAGTTTTGTTGGGTTTTTTTGAAAGGCTTAATTATTATTCCTAACTAAAGTGAAAAGATTGGAGAATAGTGGGACAAGTATAGAGTTAAAGTGATGCTAGGAGAGTAAGCAAAACTATGAAATAATAGGAGCTTGTTGCTAACTTCTGAGTTGTTAAGTGGATTTTTTGTTGTTGTTTTTTTTCTTTCTTTCTTTTTGATCCTGTTTCCACACCCCCACCTTTGGAGATAAAGTTGGTTTGTAAAGTTGCCGTGTGTCTTGCTCTTATTTTGTAGTTCCCGGGGCTCCCAAGGAACTACATGCAGCAGGCGAATTTACGAAGTGATCACAATTTAAAGAAACCTTAGAAGACTGTGTTTGCAATAACATGTCTTTGTTATTTTGTTTAACCTACTATGACTGTAGCAATGCAGCTAAGCGTATCCGGTTGCACTACCACAGCAGAGGAGGGCTTCAGACTAGAGTACAGAAGTTTGAGTGAACAAGAGAGGTCAAAAAGGTCTAGAACTGGTCAAGTTGGCAACATGGCCGAAGGTCTTTAAGACATGTTGTGATTGGAGGGTATTCTTGCGTCTTTCTGTTCCTTCAGGTGAGGTGCCTTGCAGATTAATCTTTTTACTAATAGAAAAGGATGAGAATTAACTTAGGCAAATCTGCAGTGTCTTTATGGAGCTTGAAGTGTGTGACAGGGTAGTTACACTAGCAGAAACGCAAAATTGCGAAATGCAGATGTACTGCACAAGACACTTTCCAATCCGTTGTTCTCTGCTTTGCTTTTCTTCACCATCACACTCTACTTTCCTGAACTTTCTTTTCTATTGCATGCCTTAATCAGCATCTCATGTTTTGCAAGTCAGGACATCTTGAAGACACAAAATTTAATTATATGGGAACTAGTCGAAGTGTAGACATTTTAAGCTACCTTCTAATTTCTTGTTCTGGGGTTTTTGTTTTGGGTTATTTTGGCTTTTCCTCACAGAAGCAATGTAAGACAACACAAATGACAGACTTTGATATCAAAATCTCTTTCTAAAATCTTATTTTTCTTTTCCGTATACAGTTCCCATTTCTTGCTTGTTTGTTCTTTTTTTTTGGACTTTTTGCTGTTATTTGACTTGTCCAAATATAATAATTAATTATAAAGGCTAACAGAAAACAATTGTGTGAAGCTGACTCTCAGAAATTATTACTAAAACAAATAACAAAATGTCTGTTGCCTCTCCACTTAAACAGAGCATCAGAAGGGTGTGAGTTTTCTTAATGCACGTTTTAGTTTAAAACCATGATTAATGTTTGAAGTGAGGGAGAGAGCTGAACCCTTCAAATTCTACTATATTCTTACTCTGTCATGCACAGCTACGTTGCAGATCTAAGTGTCATATAGCAAAACTTGAATTCATTTGGTATTGAACTGGTCTAGTCACTGTAGCACAAATCATGGGCTATAAATACATCAAGGATCTTTAAAAGTGTAATCAGGTAACAGACTAGCCTAGCCATGGCACAGGAGTCCGTAAAGCACATCTACCCTTTCTGCTGGATTCTGTAATATTGTGGAAATAACTCTAACAAAGCAGGTTCATTTAAAGTCAGTCTGGGAAAAATCTAAGCTTTATTGTCATCTCCTTTGTAAACTACTGTAGCCTGCCTTTTCTTGGGTCCCTGATGGCTGTGTTGCAGCTTTACTAACACACAAAGGCAGAAGTGCCAAAATTAGCGTTATTGCTTCGCCCCTGTTTATGATGCAGATAATCACACACTCTTGTGATTGTAGCATTTGAGCACCCCAGAAAGTTTCTAAGACTACAAATTAAAGCTGAAACGTGTTTTTAAAATATTGGAATTTTTTATGATACATGTTGGAATGATTGTGGATTTAAAGTATCTTTGAAAATGAAATTAGAGTTAATGCATCAAGCAGACTTTGGGGAATATGCTTTGTCATTCCAGACCTGTACAAGTGAAACTAGAGAAATCAAATGTGTACATAAAAACATTTATTGATTGGATATTGACAGAATACAGCCTGTTAAATTATGCTGAGCTGGCTAGGACCTCACTTGAGTATGATTTTTAGTCTTTGCTGCCATTAACTTGGTCAAAAAAGGTATAAATGATCACTGCTAGTAATACGTCTTCCGTTATCTGAGTGCTTTTTTCACAAAGCCTTTCTTCATTATTAGATTGTAGTGTGTCTGAATATTTCTAGGTTTCTTTTACTTTAAAATTGTGTATTGGTTTGGGGGTAATAAAAGTATTTGCAGAATCAGTTTTTATATTGAGAAAGGTATTTAGTGTAAGTATATTCACTTGTATTTGTTGAAAAAGCACTGTAGAATGAAACCACACTTCATTTGGTAGCACATGCTTTATAGCTTCTGAGTATCTAAAGATCCATGTTAGGGAAAACGAAATGAAGGCATTCTAGTTGCATGTTACTGTAGGATGGAAAAGCTGCACTTCTGAGGCTGTTGTTACAAACTTGATGAAAAGCAGATTGATACTATTTTGCTGACATCAGTTTCCACAAACATCAAGCTTTCTGTCCCCCAAAATGGGTAGAAGGCAGTCAGAAGAAAAGTCAAAATGCTGATACTTCTGTGTGCTTTCTTACAAGAAGGCTGAAGCTGCAGGAATTATTTCATCCTGGCATGAAAGATGTAATCAAGAAAACTTAAAGTATACTTTTTAATCTAAAAAATAAAATAAAATTGAGTCTTACAGAAGGAAAGCTGCATTTCAGTGCATGTTAGCGGGCTCCATCAGACTTAGTTCAGTATATTTTGAAATAAATATTTATGTTGTCTTCCAAGAGTATTAATTTTGTTCCACAGTTTTTGTCTTTGTTTTGGGTGGAAATTTGGATTGACACCCTTTTGTTTAGGTGTGGGGTTTTGTATCACTGATAGGAAAGAGTACTGCCTTTATAGTACCTCAGAGCTTCAAAAACATAACCATAAAAGGTTTCAAGGAGATTTACATTCTCTTTCCTGCTTTTTGACTTGACCTTATTGTGCCAGACTGAGTTAACAAGATTGCAGGCCATCCATTTACATTTTGGTGCCTTATCTTTTAAAAGAAAAGTGAATTAGTGTTTGTAGGCTTTGCAATCACAGATTTCACTTCTCACGTTCTCTCTCCCCCTCTCCCTGCTCCCCACTCGCTCCCCAACCCTCATGAGTTTGTGCCAGGTATAATTTCAATGCTATAACTGCATTTATTAGGAAGCAAATCGTCACAGCAGCTACTGTGTCCCTGAAGGAATGTGTGCCTCTTCCGCTATCTGACATAATGGAAAGAAACAGCAGGCCTTGCTTAAAAAAGATTTAATCCTGGATTGCATACAGAGCATGCTCAGTGTACAGATTTGCATTAGTTGACTTTTTTCCCCCCAGCAAAGGTATTTGATTTACAGAACTCGTTTGATTTGATTTTCCTTAAAGAATTCTAGAAATTTTTTTAAATGAAAAAAAATCTATGGGAGTCATCAAACTGGTAGAAGAAATTAATTTGGGTCAAGTTAAGTCAAGATGATTGTTTGAGGGATGAGCTTTCTAGAAGTAGGACAGAAACTAGGCATTTTCAAATCTTTGTGAAACTATTGCATTTTGTCATATAAATTTGTAGGGAGGGTATTTTTAGGTTAGTTTATAGGCTTGTTTTACCCGGTTTCAACAGACCCAAACTGGCTTCTGAAATGCAGACAGAAGGGTAGAAGTGGGAGAGTATCTGAGTTTTGGGAGTATACTGTCACCACCATCTGAATGTAACTTGCACAAGACAGAAGATGGCAGAAGAGCTATTAAATAATCTATATGAAAAGATAATTTGTTATTTAAAAAAAAATTAAAAGGTAACAAACTCTTCATAATGGGCAATAGAAAAATATTATTACATGTTTTTCAGAAATCTTTGTGAAACATTTCTGTGAAATGGATGTGCTCCTTGAAGATGTTTTGCTAGGAGACCAATTAGTACTGTTTTAATGGGAAGACGTTTTGTTGAAACCTTCTGGACCAACTAGTTAAGAGCAGAAGGAGGATCTCAAGACTGAAGCCTTTGTGTCACCCACCTATCAGGCAGCACATGCATGACTTCAGCTGTCCAGAATTTTCCCTCTTTCTGAAGTATTTATTTTTTCTGATACAATTATGCTGGCACTTAGAATCTTAAAGTAGTCTGGTTCTTTTACCTTGCCTTCTTTCATCACTAGTTTCAGAGTTGAGTTTAGACAAGTCCAAAGTCAGGACTGTGTGACCATGTGGGGTGCTAGAACAAAATGTTCTCTGAGGGTGTCACCATAGAAACATTTGTACAATATTGAGCTGCTTCATCAAAACAAGCCATGCCGCAGTTCTTAGAAATTGTCAGACGCTGTAGATTGGCCTCCCTATTCTGAGTTATGTTTGCAGGTGAATGCTTCCTTACAAACAGAGAAAACTCTACTGAGAAGCTGGTTAAATAAGCAGCTTGTATGATTAAGAATTTGCCGAGTAATTTTGAAAGCAACATTGAATTGTTAAAAGCAAAATCTAATGCTTCTTCAAATAAATGCAGCTAAACTCTGGTGAAGTAAAGGGGCTTGGTTGCTAGAAAACTGGGAAGAAACTTCCAAGACTTAAACCGTTTTTTTTTCCTCAGAAATGACGACATAGAGGTACATACAAATATCTAATTACTCTACAGTCTATAAAAACCTAGAGTTACTCCTGAATCCTAACTGACCCAAAGAAACTGGAGGTTGGAATGATTGATGCTTTCTGTGATTGTTATGATGGCACCTCTTGGCTCTCCCATCAGCCATTAGTTCCACAGCATGAGAGTTCTCATGTGATGTGCCAGCTCCAGAGCTCTGCCCTGTTTACAGTGCTTGTTTTTTCTTAACATATTTGATTAATGCAGGCTTAAAAAAGAAGGGATTACAGGCTGGTGTGTGTTTATTTCAAGAGGATAAGCTTTAGCGCATTGCACAGCCATGTATATCTTGTGAACTGCATATGGATTAGGAGTAGAAGTATATGCCGACTGTAGTTTTATTAAAAGGTACACATCTTCTTGCATATCTTAAGCATCTTTTAAACTGAAGTTTTTTGATAATTGAGGCAGGTAGGGGTCGAGTGGAAGTGGTGAATGAACTGTAGGCGCCAAAGGCCAGAGGAGAAGGGTGTGAGCCAACTATGTGTTGGGTTTTTATTCAGGCAGAACAAAATGTGTTGATATGCTGGGAGTACACTTCTCTTTACTGCCTTTTGCAAGATGTTAACTCCAGATAAAATTTTAAAACCCTGTTTCTCCTTTCCTGTTACAGAGTGGTAGAACAAGAAGCTCAAAGATCGCAGCAAACTGCCCAGGACAGAAAAAGTCCCAGTAGAACCAATGGCTGCAATGAAAACAGACCCATTGACATCCTGGAAATGCTTAGTAAAGCCAAGGATGAATATGAACGAGTAAGGAAATGTCTTTTTTTTTTTTCTTTTTGTCTTTTTTTTTCCTCTCCTAACCTTATGAACAAATAAAAACACTACTTTTACTTCTGAATAAGGGGCTTAGAATATCAGATGCAGTCCACTGAAATAGCAAGCCCTGTGATTTCTCAGAGCTGACAAAGAATAATTCTTATACACGAAATTGTCCTGTGCAATACACTCTTAACCCAAGATTGCGAAGTAGTGCACCTAATCCATAATTTAATGGGCCTGTATAATCTTATGTTTGAATTGCTACCTTCTGGGGGGGAGGGGGGAAATAAAATTTAAAAAATGGATACCTGAACATGCAGACACAACAAAATATTTGTCTAAAATAGATGCATGGGACGCTTAGTCTCAGTATTCATCTACTGTCTTGTTTTGTGATACCATTGTCAAAGGAAATGTGAACAAATAGTTATATATGTAACACTTTTAGAAGAATGTATCAATGAAAATGTCTGATTTTGTGATCTTGAAGTTCCATTATTGTAAATATTCCTTGTAGTGGCTGACACTTGGTTTTTCAGTTTTTTCTTATGTACTGAAAGTCACTGGAGGAGATCTTGATTATGGCATGAATCATAGCAGAGCATTCACTGAGCTGCACAGTAAAATGCTTCGGCATGTTGAATAATGTAACAGAAGCCCAGAAACTCTGTGAACTGTCCTATGTCTGTGATACAAGCACAGATGTTCATGACTTAGAGAGAAGGGGTAATATGGGGAAAAACTCATATTTTAAAACAGTGCAGTATTTGCATGTGGCATTTTCTTCTGTAATTATTACCATAGTGGGCAACTCTTTGCCTACTTCTTCATTATTTTTCATTTTTAAGAAAGCCATATCAGCTGTGTTTTCTTTGAAGAGCAGGCAGTCTCTGCCATTATTTCAATAGCCTTGTTCTCAGACTGATGTCTTGTTCTCTCCCTTGAGTACAGTATATTAAGAAACAGTTTGTGATTTCAGGCAAGATAGGTTGAACACTGATAGTGTGATCCAACTTGAAATGTAGCTTGGTAGACCCATGTTACAATGGTTTCTACTGCTGTGAGAAAACTTTGTCTCTGGGAATAGCAAATAAAAATTTTACCCGACAGCATGTGTCTCTTAGTCTCAAAAGAAGTTGTGTCGTATTAGAGACTACAGATTTAGTCATTTAGTAAATTTGTAGATTCTATGAAGCATATTTTTAATAGCTGTAGACGAAGTATAACAATACTGTTACCCTAACCTTCTGTTCCCTGGTTTACTACTTCTGTCCTGTCTACTGTGTGTCTATCCTTTTAATAAATTAATTGATTTCAGAAGGATGAGTATGTTATCTTTTGCCAAATTCACAAGTTTACATAATGAGGGATCATATTAGGTCTCAGGAAAGAATTACTTTATGTAGTTCTGAGGACCAAATTCATAAATGCAGTACAAACAAGGGTAAAATGTGGGAGATCCAAAAAAGGAAACAAAGATTCTGAACAAGCCTTTTCCCAAGTGTAATAATACAAGAATGCGCAATAGTAATGTGTGAATACAATGTTGCAGAGCTGTAGTATGGTTTTTGTGGCTATACTGGTGGGAAAAGAGTTAGTATGTTAGTAGAGTGCTTGGTTGCTTCTAGAAGTTGCTTGTGCAGCAGAGTTCCTTTGAGTACTTGGGATTTGAGTCTTTATAGGATTCTAGATTGTTACAGTACAACATGGAATGAGGAGAAAAGAATGAATACGTGGATTAAGCCTTTTATGAGCCAACTTAACTCATCGTTTTCTGACATAGATTGAGGACAAGTGAATGTGACAAACCATACAATATATTTGACCTGGGCTAGATACTAGTTTCTGAAAATTGGCAATGTGTTTTTTCAATGCTTTAAACAGAGATCTTTAAATAAATTGCTTCTGATGCTGTGAGCATCAGTGCTGTTTGGAGAGAAGGTGTCTTTGTACAAAGGCCAGAATTGTGGAAGTAGCAGCTTTTGTGAGAGTAGAGAAGGAAGCATCAAAACCTGAATGACTTATCTTTCAATGTTGTATCAGTTGAGATGGATTTGAAGAAATTGAAGGCTTTTTGGGAAGAAGAAGAAAAAACTAAAAAAAGAGAACACATACCACAGGAACTCACTGTTTTTGTAGTGCCCCCTTAGGGTGTGGTGAAGCCTTTCTCCCTCTTTGTCCTTGCAGTATTGGATAATGGCTCTTAAAAATTACTCAGAAAGCATATTCTAGTTTCTCCGCTCCTGATTTTCAGATCTCTTTCATGTGAGAATACTGAAAAGGTTTGCTAGAAACAATGTTTCTAAGCATTATGGACGAAGCTCTGTAGATAAGTAAGGTACTGATAAACAGGCAATGGTATGCAGGTTTTGTGGTGGACAGTCAAGGTCTGTAGTGCCTGACGTACAATAGGGAAAAAGGCAGGGCATGGACTGCAGTAGAACTACTATGTAATCAGGGGTTTTGTGTCTTGATCTTGATTTGTTGTGTGTATTTCTTGATGCTTTGAGAACACTAGTGAAACTAGAATAACTATTTCATAACCTTTTTGCGTGTGTGCATGTATGCGTGTGAACTGTAAACTGAATCTGTTGAATGTAATCCTACAGTCTGCTATGGTGGTAGTTATGTAAAAGTTGCCAGATAAACAGAATTGAGCAATGTTGGTCACGTTTCAAGCAAACTTCTTTGGAGAATATTCTGTTGACCACCTCAGCTTTTGCAGCAAATCTCTGGCACGTTAATTTTGGAACTCCTTGTAGCCAAGGTATGTCAATGTTAACATGACTAGGTCACCAACTTGTTTTGAAGATGGCTTCTTGAAAGACCTTTCCTGTCTTAATTTTTCTGCTTTTTTTTTTTATTAATTTACGGCATTCAGTAATTACACATGAATTTGTATTTAGGAGCAGAAAGTACTTATCTGCCTGGTATATTCCAGATGGATCATACAGTAATCCTTGTGTGCAGCCCACATGAGATTGGCAGAGTGTCAGCATGAGAAGGGGGCAGAGAGAGTGAAAAAGAGATTTATGAAGGTCTGAGTGATTTAATCTAGGATTCCAAATCAGCTTAATCCTTCAAGTACTTGCTACATCAAGTCCATATGTGAAAATGAATGAATTCTGAGATTTATTTTTTTAATGAAGTGAATGGATGCTTTTTATAGTGTGGTGTTTTGTGTGTGTTTCAGTATGAGGACAGAAACATTCTCTAGTGAAAAGAAAACTGCGTTGTCCAATATTGTAACCACAAGGCATCAAGCATTTCAGGCACAGAGTTTTGACCTTCAAGTTAGTGGCTAAAAGTCAGAAAGATGGAAGAAGTTGCTTCTCACTTCTGTCCCTAAATCACAATATATAGTCTTGATTTTGTATTTATTGCTTTGAATGAGAAATTGAAAACAAAAGATTAATAAAGCTCAGAATGTTTAGCAACAGGTTAAAAAAACAATCTAACTCATATTTTGCTGCTGTGGGTAAGTGATCAGAGCAATTGTCATGTGTTGTGCTAATGTTCAGCTATATTGTGTGCATAAGGTATAGTTTAGCTATTGAAAGCTAGTCTGTTTGACAGTTTGGTTTTTTTCACTGGTGATTTAAACTGTAATACAATTTCTATTTTTGTTTCCTTATCTATTTATTAAAGATGAAACTCAATGTGATCTGTAAAAATTTGTCTGTTATAATGCAACTCCCTTGTTTGTTTTTTGCCTTGTTCACAGAAAACCAAATTAACACCTTCTGAAAATACATGTATGTGGCTAATTGAATCTGGTGGAAATAAGTCACTGACAAGCTCTCTTTCCAGCTAGTTAGAATGATTTCTGAAAGCATTTTTTCTAATTTTTTTTATTTCTCAGTGGAAAAAAAAAGTATGAAGCCAGTTGTCTTTTTTTTTAAATAATAAAAAGTAAAAAGCTTTTATAAATACATACCAGGTAGTGGATGGTAATGGATACCAGTCTTGGTATGATTTTTATTTCCTAAAATTTGTGAATTCCACAGTGTCTTACAAAAATCAGTACTCTGTATATTATCTGTATTTCAGTCAAAGCGCCATGTAAACAAGATTATAGTAGTGGATAAATGTAGACTTAAAACTCATGTACTCGTGTTAAAATATTTTTTTGTTCTCCCCCCCCCCAGAATCAGATCAGTGACTTCAGTATTATATCAAGTTCTGGAATGCAACAAAATGCAAATCCTCCAAAGCCAGAAAGTACAGAGCCTTCAGAACAAAAAACTTCATTACAAATACAAGAGCAGGTATGTTTCATCCAGACCTAAATAAGGTTCTTTTATTTTTTTTTTTTCCCTTTATTACTTGATTTTGGTACCAATATATTTTTTTCTTGGAATACCTGCAGTGTTTTCTGATGAATGTATTACTGCTTTAAATAAACTAATGGGTTTGGAAGACTTTTGGCATCCTAAATTCTGTCTTTTGACTTGGCATTTAAAATATAAGGCTATGTCCACACTACTGTGAACATCCAAGTACGTTTAAATGGGCTAACTTGGATTCTGGAAGTTGGCCCATGGAACGTGCGTAATGACTTGCAGAGCCAAGAAGCAAGAAAAAATTACCTCTGCCACATTATTGGACTGAATATAGCATCAGTTAATTGTGCACATAGTTGCAGTCTTTCACATATTGAACTCAAGCCCTGTTTCCTCATGTCTGAGACAGTTACTTACAGTTTGTCTCTGCTGCCTTCAAAGCTACAGCTACAGTCCTGCTAACTTAAATCAACGGTGAATTGCTAGCCAAGAAATGGAAAGCGCTTCAGCCATGGCAGCACCAAATTCTCTTTGGCATAACTGAAAGTGTGTTTGTCTATTTTCTCCCACATTTCTGTAGCTTGCATTGAACCTCTGCTTGTTTGGTAATGGTATCAGTCAGCTTGGCTGTGGAGAAAGTGTGTGTGGTTTTGTGTTGGAGTTTTTTGTTTTGTTGAGGAGTGGAGTGTTGTTTGGGTTTTTTTCCCTGTGCTAAGAACTTTTTGATGGTATATTCCTTCTCCTACAGAAAGGGAAATATTGTTAAAAAAAGATCAGTGTTGGGGAGGGATGTTGCTCAAATTGTAGTAATAAGAGTGTTGAGATCTATTCCAGATAAATGTTAGATACAACATGTTGAAGCAACATGTATCCAAATATCTACAAATTCTAAAGCTTGGTGTTAGTACTGTAATTAAAGTTTAAATCACAGTAAAAATCCTAGTGAAAATAACTTCTGCTTCATGTAAATGTTGTCTTTGAATCACAGGAAACTTACTAAAAAATACTTAGTATCGTCACTGGACTGGCTGGAATAGGTAGCGATAGTTCAGTATTTGGCTCCATTTTCTAGTAAGCATTTCAGCACAAGGAAGCTGCAGCTTCATACAAGACTTCTTAGAGATTAAAAAAAAAAAAAATCTGCAGTAACTAAATTCCCTGTAATGCCGAAGTAACTTGGACCTGCTTACAGTGCCACCCCGTGGGCACGGAAAGGTCAGTAATGGTTCTACTTCGAAAATACCCCGGTGAGAGAAGCTGCGAGGCCTGCCTCCCGCCCTTGCCATAGTTTAGTGCTGTGTTTCTGCTGCAATAAACCACTGTGTCTGAAAGATTAAATGCCCTATGAAAATGTGTGCAAGCTTGCACTTAGTACTTGTAAACAAAATACTTACTTTGTAGTAGTAGTAAGTAATTCCCAGTACAGGTTAGGTCTAGGGTATGGGTAGCAGGAATCTGTTTTAGGGGATGGGGTAGTAACAGTTAATGAATTAAAATGAGTGAGGGGTGGGGAGTTTGCTGGGATTACTAGCTATTACAGCCCCCTCCACCCCCTCAGCAGCACCTCTGCTTGTGAATCAGCACAAGCGATAGTCTTACCCCGGGCAGCCAGCTCTGCTTGCTGCATGCCTGCTCTTGAGACCTGGCAGCAGGGTTTGCCTGAGGTTTTGCTTTAGAAGAAGATATTTTCTTTTGGGTCACTCCATGCAGACTGTACACAGTGAACTGAAGTGCCCCACCTGACCGTGCATGGAATTGCAGAACAGAAATGAAATAACTAGTAAAGGAAAAATTGAAAAGATAAGATTCTAATCAATAGCTTTGAAGTAACTAAAGGGAAACAGTTGATTTATGGGGCAGGTGAAATGGCATATTTTTAATTCTGTTGAGCTATTTAAATATTTAAAATAATAGCTGCAGAGATATTTGAAAAAATTAATTGGGTAACAAGTGATAATTCTGTAAAGCTAGTTAACTGGGTTCAAATATATCACAAATGTGTTTCATCTTAATCATGTTTTTAATAACATGGACAAGTGGAAGACTACTGGAAAAATATTCCATTTCAACTGTAAAATAACATTTTTCACCTAACTGAAACAGGTGACCAGTGAAATTTAAAAATAGTGTACATATGATCACTTGTATGTTGATTGACTAACTTCATTTCATGCTAAAGATATCACAGATTTGGTAATAAAAAGAAATGTCTGTTTTACTCTGAAGTTCAAGTTTTTAATCTTGGCAGTTCAAAATGAAAATCAGTTGTATCATGAAATGCTTTCATGCCAGCAATTGGCAAAGCTGAAACAGAAAACTGAAATTAAACTTTACAGTGCCAGCTCTGACTGCTAATTCATGTTGCAATATATCTGCAATGATTTCTGGAGAACCCCTCCGAGCACCACTCTGTTCCTTTCAAGTAAAGTGATCATGTGGCCTTCTTGCCTTTGATGATACACTCAAAATATACGTCATCCAGAGATGGGACAGGCAGGAGGTGTGTCTTATACTTCAGGCTGGAAATTAGCTTTGTGTTTGAGACTGTGTCAACATAAGAGGCTAGTATGATTTGGGTCAGAGCACAGTAGAGATTTCTGTTTATTACTTGAATATTGTAATGTATTAATAAAGAAAAGCTAGTCTATTTATCATACTGAAGTGAAAAGCTGAGTTTAAAATGAGATGGTATAGCGATTTTTCTCTTAATGGAATCTTTACACTTGAAGGACAGGTCTCCAGAACAGTAAGATCAGTGGAGAAAAGAACGAACAACTTTCTAGGAAGAATTCTGAACATAATTAACAAGGTTTAAAAACTATAGAATGTCTCAGCAGCAAAAGAAAAGTGAGCCTGACTTTAAGCTAGCTAAAAATGAGTAACAACAATGGCAGTGGATATTAGTAACCTGGGCAGAAGTCAATATGATTTCAAGCTCAAGGGTTTTTTGGTTTTTTTGTTAGGCTACTTGCATGCTACCTGTACTGCTATACCTTCACTGCTGTTATCTGCCCTAGTAAAATTACAGCTAGCATAGCAGTGTCGTGGTAGAGTAGTTGTCATTGTAAAATAGCATCTTTCTTTAGACATACCATCAAAATACGCTGGAATTGTGCTTCAGGCCATTCTGGCTTCTGAACAGAACGTTGTATTTTAGTCTAGCTGTTTTATATAACTTCTGGCCCTGTGCAACCTAAATAAAAAAAAAAAAAGGCAAATTTTGAGATTAAGGGTGTTAATAGCTGTTTCTTTTCTCTTTCATGAAACACGTTTTTAAACATTTTCAGCAAAATACTAAGATGATATCCTTAAAATGTGGTATGTTCTCCTCCCCTGCCCCTCCCTGAAGTGCCTTGTATAGTTAGGACTGATCAATGATGGCAGATGCCATCTTAATGACAGAATCCATAGCCTTCCCCCTTCTTTACTAGCAGTGCATAGTCGGTTCATAGAAGGCTGTAGAGAAAAAGCTTACATAGGCAGGATGTTCCCTCTGAATGAAATTGATTTAAAAATTCCTGTAAATAGGGCACACTTGATATCCAAACTGAATTTTAAACGCATTTGACCTAGCTGCCTTTCATAGTTTTCTTAAAATTGTAGTAGACCATGTGAGATGTGTAGTGGTATGTATATTTCTAAACTGAAAACTTCCTTTTCCCTTCTTTCTAGCCATTTCAGTCAAGGCAGAAGCATCTGACTTTGGAGGAACTGTTTGGAACCTCTGTACCAAAGGAACAGCCCGCAGCTCCGTATCCCAATCCAGAGAGAATGGAAAAGTTGCAGACTGGCGCCTCCACCAGAGAGCAGCACAGTTTGCTCTTGCCTTTTTCCTTTGACCAGTCAACAGTAATACAACAATCACTAGGGAAATCTGAAAGTCCAAGCATTAAAACCAGTGCCAACCCTTTGAATCAGCACTAATACCTCCAGCTTCAGTTTCCCAGCCTGATGTAAAAAATGTTTCAAGCTATTCAGTTCGTTTAAGCCCTATTCTTAATTCAGCCTCGACAGTGGAAGCTGCCTCTGCTCAGATGCTTCCTGGCCTAAAACAAAACAACAGTATAATGCAAGTTATGCAGCAAGCTGCCAAGCAGATATCCCCACTAGTGAATCAGCCGCCATCTGAAGTGAACCACGCTCCACAAAATCTAATGGCTGGCCAAAGCCAGCTTATAACACCCTTGACATCAACAAATACAGGAACTGTCTCAAATACATCCCATACAAGTGTTGACCTTCTCCAGAAACTCAGGTTGACCCCACAGCATGACCAAATGCAACAGCAGTCTCTCACTAAGACTTCCTTAACACCAAATATCTCTGCCTCGGTTGGCCAACTTGCAACACCAGAAAGTTTCAAAGAATCTCACAGTAAGCTGTCAGCCTTGAACAGCAAGATAATCTCTCCCCTTCAGGTATTCTGTGGGTTTTTATATCCATGAAGCTTTAGACTGTTTTTAGACTACATATGTTTTCCTTTGGAAAATGTGCTGTTCTGTATTAACCTTTTAAAAATAGTTAAAGACTTCCACTGTGTGATATTGATTGAATTGTTAACTTAGACATCCAATTCCATTAGTTTTATATCATTAGCATCTGCTGTCAGTGACAGACCTATCTGTAGAAGAGGAGATTTTTTTCAAGCTGGTGCTGTTAGGGGATGAGTAAATCCCAAAGAATTCATCTGTACTTGTGTCAGAAAAACACTGCTAAGAACTGATGATCTGAGAGGGGACAGAGGTTACAGACTGATCAGCGTTACAAGAGTTGATGCTGTGGGAGTCTAGCCTGTACCTTCTTTGAAGGTACAAAATTAACAATTTCCTGCTTCTGGTTATTTTGCTTTGGATGTTTTGTACCCCTTCTGCTGGGGATACCTGTGGGCTACATTATTGAGATATTGTTAGTTATTTAGTAAAATGGATCGTAAACTGATTTATTTTGTCTAATTGACTGCCTTGGTTTCTTTTATCCTAGTATCACATACAAAGGACTTTTTATTTCTTGTAGGAGAATCTGCTGTCTATACCTTAACATAAGACAGAGCAGTAAATTTGTTTTGAGAGACTAGGTGCAAACATTATAATCTTTTCTTTCAGTCAGTGTTTCTCTACTGTATAATTGGCTACCTCAGTAGTAGAGACATTAATGAGTTTGGGTTATTGGATTTCTTTTTTCTCCAAAAGGATTAACTTTCTGTAGTGCCCACCTCTGAGGTTATCCAGACTTCTCTTCATTTTGTTGCATTATTATTTTATTTTATTTACATTCATGCAGACTAAGCCAGTGTTTGATCAAGGCTTCTTGCATCTTGGGTACAGTGGTGATGCAAAAATAAAAAAACACCAAACAATACTACTTACAGCTCCATCTTCATGAATTTCCTAATGTTATTATCCAGTGCTTGCCACTGGGTTTTAAAAAGATTTTTGCTAGCCCTTTCTGGGTCAGCTGCTACTCTTTGCTATGAATATGGTGATGACTTACTCATAACAGAGATCTAATCAAAAGCTCAACTCTTCAGCTTGTAATTTGTCCTAAGCATTACTTTAGAATACCCTGTATTTTTCAAGTGTTGCTTTTCTGTCCCCAGAAGAGTTATCCCTGTCTTGAACATTAAGAAATGGGTGTGTTTCCATTGTGCTGTCTTTCTAGTTGCCTTATTTCTAATCTGTTCTTATTTCTACTGCTGCTTTTGAAAATTTTCCAGAAGGCTGTGACTGTTACACGCTAGTATTATTTTACTAGTGATCAACTTTTTGAGATGTTTGGACTGATGCATTTTGCAGAGGGAGCAGATCCAAGTACAGCATTGAGCAGCTGTCTTGATCTAGTATTGAACAACTGTATATTCTGAGCAATTTTTTTCTTTTGTGTACTACTAAACCTTGGTACAGATTTGACTGAAGATTGTGACATCTTTGAGCATTTAGAAAAGTTGGCTGAATTTATCCATAGCTGCCCTTGACTGCATTTATTCAATGTCTGATAGCCTTGGAAATGAGCCCTTCATATGCCACTCACACCCTTTTTTTTCCTTCTATCATGTCCACTGTGTTTACATATTTTCATTAGACAAAATGCTCTGTAGTCCAGATACACTCTCAAACTAGCAAAAGACTTCTTAACTCTTCAGTAATTAGACTTTAAGAATTTGATCTTGTGCTTGTTACCACTTCATAAAGCTAACTTCATTTTTGTCATTAAGGACTATCAATTCCCTGAATGTTATATTATAGTCTTGAAATCTGACTAAAGAAGTATCTGGATGCTGTTTGCAAAGGTATAAAATACCTCTGAAATTTTAGAAGAAAAAAGCATTTAATTTTTGTGGAGGTGATGAGAGAAAGCTCCTAGAAAAAAAATACAGAATTTTAACGTTCTTGGCAATTCACCAAACTGATTACAAACTACTGAACTCTTCATTTTGTAGCATTTGTTTTGTTCCCAGTTTCAGTGTTTTAATGTTTACATTTATTTTTTTAACTGTAGTAGTCTTCAGAAATGTTTTGTTATGGCTTTACAGGTTTGTTGTAATACTGAAAGCATAAATTCAAATTTTTCCTCTTTTTTCCAACTTCCCACTATTATATCAGTTTTACAAAATGGAACAAATTATACCTAAAATGTGCTGAAATTTGCATTTTTGTGCTTTCATAAAACCAGAGAACTACCACTGGAAATTGAGCTGTGGATGCTAACTTGTGAATTATGATTTCTTTTTAACTTAGACTGTCCAACAAAACAAGGAATCAGAAGTATTTTCACAACCGAAGACTTTGTCTAAAGCAAGTCAAGTAAGTGAATAAATACTTCCAATAATTGTTTGTTGAGTTTCTTAAAAAAATAAAAAAAAGGCTCTGTGTGTGTAAAACTGTGGTAAGCAGGTGGTATCTCAAATACTCGTTGTGCACTGACCATATTTAAAGTGCTGTTATGAAGCAGAAACAAGCGGTACTGAAGCAAGGGGGAAGTTTCTGTAGACTGCTGTGAATGAGTACACTTTTTTGTTGTATAGTGTCTCTTATGGTTGATGCTAATGCAGAAATGAGAATGCATTTTTGGATCTGCAATCTTGCATTGAGTTTACACCATTTGAACAGATTTTTTTTATCTTGTAGGCAAGCAGTAGTGATGCTATAATATTGCAGTAGGGTCTATTAGCTAGCCTTAGCCCAACTTGAAGCACCCCAGAGCCATAAAATGCAATCCTTGCCTTATTGTCTCTTTCAGTTTTCCTGAGATACCTTGTATTTTATGACAAAGATACCAAAGGAAGATGGAGGAAGAAAAGAATAACAGGCATTTGTTACTGCAAAACTTTCTAATAGCAAATTATAGTGATCTAAATACAGATTTAACATTACTAGAACTGCCTTTGCAGTTCAATGTAATGTCAGTATAAAATTTTTCAATTGTCAAATAAAAATTTTTCAATATTGCAGTTAAAAAAACCCTGGTAATAGTCAAGTCTTCAAGAATTGTTTTTAATTACCTTTTTGTTATGTATTCTTTTCAGGATACTATCTGTAACTTAAGTTTACTTTGCCTTTACCCACCCCCTCCTTTTTCAAGTCTGTTAAATTGCCTCATTCTTGTCCAACTTGCACTACATAAAAGCAGTTTTAGTAGCATGCCCAGATCTGATTGTGAAGGCAGTAAAAATGGTCCTGCTTAAAGTAAAATGCTGTTGTAGCTACTGGCCTGATATAAGACAAGCTATACAGTCTGTTCATGACGCAGTAAATAATTATCTAAATAAAAGCATTTTACATGGATTTGGGAATTTTAAGAAACATGTGCATGTTTTGTGGTAAACTGCACTTGTTGCCTTAAACATGTGGTCTTCAGCTGAAATGCCACACTGTAAGTCTTCACAGTTTTGACTATAACAAAATCAATTTGCTAGTTCTACTGTTGTTCATGTTGTTATATATCCATTAACTTTAGATGGCTTTGCAGGTTTTATTTCTTCTGAAGATTTTTTGTTATCCAAGGGGAACTCTTTCTGCAGATGTATCAAACATCTTTACATATCACATTAAGTCTTGCTTTCTTTTGAGTAAGATTGGCTTCTTTATTCCCCCCCCGCCCCCGCCATGTTGGTCATTCTGGAAGCCGAAACAAGATGTAGATTATCATACTGAATAACAATAATTGCAGGTCTCAGAAGATGTCAGAGTTGCTCAAAGCTGATGTTTATTCATGTCCACTTTATGCAAATACAATATTCCTGTACATTTGTGATTGATGTTTAAAAGGAAGAGTGATAAAGGCAGTGTGTGGATTTCTGTAATGAAATAGACACAGACTTGTGGAAGAATGAGGTGCGAAGATGGTCCTCAAAATACTGCTGTCTCCTCAAGGGAAAATGTACATAGAATGAGAATATTTCCATGTACTCCAATGCTTTAATTATAGTTCATCAGTCATTTTAAATATCTTTGAGATACTTCAAATTATAAGTGTATTTGTTGGAGACCATAGAAGTGAGGGGGTGGAAAACAGGACTAGCTTTTCTGTAAATACCTAAGGAAAATAATAATTTGCAAAGCAACTACAGGCTCCTTTGATTACCTAGGTGAGAAGCTCATCTTTTATTCTACGTGTTACATTTCAAAAATTCTGGAAGGTAGCAACCACATGAGGAGGAAGGACTCAGCTTTTAAAATGAGAATTATTATTGATATTAATCTTCATAGGTATATATTTCTTCATTAAGAACAGCTGTATTCTGTAATACCTGACTGAAAAACTGTGGCTACAATTTTTTTTTTAATGCTCATCTCTCCAGCCTTTATAACAGCATTTGTTCTTACTGGACATGGTGCTTATTGATTTTTCTCTTCTTTTACAGGTTGCACCTCCACAGTTTGTTACAGCCACAACTACAGTAACGCCTTCAGTCCTCTTGTCTCCTAGTGTTTTTCAGCAATCAGCTACAAAAGCTACTGAAGTGGAGAGTAAAGCCAATTCTTCTTCGCCTTTAACACTTGGAACAACAGAAATTCAGACTATACCTCCTACTGTTCTCAGTAGATCTCAGCTTCAAGAAGCACTGATACATCTAATAAAGGTCCTGTCTTTATAGAACTCAATTTCTGAGGGATGGGGTTCCAAGTACGGTAGCCAGTACTGAGAAATTCCGTACTCCTATAACTCCTTTTGCCCTGAAACATTACAGAAGTTGTTCTTTTCTGTTGGAAGGTGTAGATTACTCCACACTGTATGCATAGTATGGCACAGCTTGCTCCTTTTGGTTGCAAGATGGAGGACTTAAGACAGAGCTGTACGTCAGATGTGTCCTTTCACATCCATCTGAATTTGTAGACAAGTGAGGAAAAAGTTGCACTAGTAGAAGCCTTAGTATGGGGATGGGGGGGTTGGTTTTGTTGTCTTTGTAATTGTTCCTGCTTTCCCAAGGAAAGCTTTGGTGTTTCCAGTTCCTTAGAACTGTTCCTCATCTTTAACTTAAGTATGTGTCTTTGAAATGGAAAGGCAAAGTTGTTGTTCTGCTATTTGTAGGGACTAAAAAGTTCAGTTGAATTAAATCTAGGATGTTGGGAGTAGCCATGCAGTGAGATCATTTTAACCTCTAATGTCGTGGTGAAGTAGCATTTATGACAAACTGTTCTTTGTTAACTCTGGATTCTCTTGCCCCCTCCGTGCTGGTGTTAGTAGAGCTTACATCCAAAATGCAAGTCTAAAAATAACAAACAGTATCTTCCCAGCAATAAAGTTGTTAGGACCAAAAAGGGCCACTACCAGATCTCATCATTAGCTAGGTTGCCTGATTTATCTATGTTGGTTTTGCATAACACTTTTGTGTATTGGTGTGTATGTTTTTTTTCTCTTTAAAAACATAAACTAACTTACAAGTCAGTCTTGCAACTGAGCTCAGCTGCCAGAATATTATTCTCATTAAAGACATAGCACACTGATTCTCACCCAGTAGCATGAAGAGAATCATTTCGGTGATTTTAGAGAGCTGATTGGAGTATTTGGCCCCAGTTTTATCTATATAAAGAGATAGCTGAATGAAGACCAAAATAGACATACCCTGCAGCATGGGAGTACTTGCGCAGCAGTCTCCAAGCAGGATACTAAATTTGCTATGCAGATCTTGTAAAAAGAATATTACATCTTCAAGCTAGATGATCAGATACCAGTTCTGTAAACTTGCAATTGGAAGGAATTAGGAAGTATCTCTAAATATTGTCTGTAGAATAAACAAATTCACTTCCCATTAATGCTTTGACAAGACTTCTTGTATAACACACTGCAATCCCTTGCAGGCTGATCTGACAGACAGAAATAACGTTACTTCTGACACTTGTGCAGACTTTATTTGGGAGCCTGTACACAGGATGGAATTATCTGTGTCTAAGACTAAGGTTTGGACTCTGGAGGGAAGTGAAATTATGTGGCCAAGGCTGACCTAGTGACCACTGTTTTGTTTGTTTGAGCATCCAGTGTGCTTAGTGATCTCTTTAGGTGTCTTACCGGCTTCATGGTTCAAAGTCTGTATGCTGCCCAAAAAGCATTGCCTTTTGTACAAGTATGTAGCTAGTTCCTTTCTCTTAACTGTTAGATAGCTAGCACTATAAGGAATCCTTATCCACAACTTAAATGACATTGAATTAAACTTTTTTGGCATCTTTTTTCTAATGTGTTTTTTTTTTTCCTGCAGAATGATTCCCGTTTTCTCAGCACTATTCATGAAGTCTACTTGCAAGTCCTAACCAAGAGTACAGACAACATTAAGCTATAACTGAAGCTAAATCTACTTAAAATATATCAATTTTAGAAACAATTATGCCTCGTCTATAAAACTAATATTTTTGTAAAAGAATATTTAGTTTTCAACGTCTTGAATTTGAACCTGTTAGGAAAGACTATTCCTTAAATACTTATGAAAGTAATGTTCTCAGAAGTGATCTAGGTTTTCACTGTGATCATCACCAGCAAACCTTTGTTCTTATTAGGGAGGGGACTTAAGTTGCATTTGAGCTCTCATTAGCATTAAGTGAATGTGCAGATGTTTGTTTGCTCTGGCTTTCATTCCTAGCTGTATTCACTGTACAAGGATTACAGACTCTGTACTATTTAAACCAGCAAATACATAGTGCAGTACACTACACCACACCAGAACAAAATTCAGTTGTGGAAACTTAGTTCCAGTTTGAAGGACTGAGAAAAAGGAGAGCAAAATGCCTTGTGATTAAGTTGGCAGGTGTGGGGAAGGAACAGATCTGGAAGCCAGGCCTTTGCAGCTAAATCTTTAATAAAAGGTTTAAAAATGTGATTTGCTCAATACATTGACAGTCTTTAGCTAATGCACATAAATTAATCTTTTAAATATTCCATTAATCTTCTTTGCTTCTGTGTTGCTATCATTAAACAGGTATCCAAGTGAATAAGGCCATTTTCTCTAAAAAGGCAAAATTTGAAATATGCAAAATCTTCAGTGATTGTATCTTTTTTTTTTTCTTTAAGCAACAGAGTAATTCTGTTGCATGTTGAAGTTGGCATGTTTTCTATTTATAGTTAGGAGACCATCCCTGGAAGACCCTCTTCCTGTCCAGCAGTGTTTGATACAATTTCAATACTTTGTTTCCCTTTTAGCTTAAGGATGGACCATGTCATAGTTGTCTTTCATTCCTCAGCTGCACTGGAATTGCAGTGTTGAAAATTATGCAGATGGGGAACAAATGCATGCTTTTCTTCTGTTGCCTTCTCCCCAGATTGTTAGTGCACACTTCATAGTCTGAAGTTGATCTAATTAAAATGTTACCGCTTCTTATATGTGACTTAGTAATTCTCTATTCACTAAAGTAAGAATTTAAGTGGATACTTTCCCATTTGAAACCAGAAAATTTCTAATTCTGGTTTCTCATGCTGCTGTGTTGGTTTACTCATGGCTTATATTTATTTCTTAAAGGCATGCAAAGGTAACTAATAAGACTTCAGGTCCCAACTTTTTTCTCCAGCAATAGTAGTTTTAAAGGATGCTTTTCCAGTAGAAAAGTTTTGGTTTATTAAAAAGATAATCTGTAGTGAGTTATGATGCACTGCTGCTTTCTTTTCCCTCAAGCACTATTGAAATAATGAAGAAAAAAATTGTTTGGCTCCTTACAACATATATGTATGTGTATATATCCTAAGGTTTAGTTAATGTTGACATAGTCAAGGTGCATGGTCATTTCATTGGAAACTAGTAATTGAGCTTTAATTGTGACTTGTTCACAAATTTGGTATGTTTTAGATACAACAAATATTTACACTTTTATGCATTTGATCCATTTTATGTTTTTTTCATAGCTTGTTAGTGGAAAATATATTTTGTTTAGCACTACCTGCCTTCTGAAAAGCTCTTCTCACCATTTGAGTTCAGTCTTTCTGGTTAAAATATGTAGTATTTTGTTAGAAAAATGTGCAAGATTCAGGGAAAGATACTAATGTCATGCACATTCATCAAGAAATATATTGGCTTTAATGGTAGCATTTGAATTCAGCAATATAAACTCAGCCTTGTTAAGGAAGATAGGAGTTTCGTACATAAATTCAAGAGTTATAATACTGTGTATAAGCATAAACAATGAGACTCAAATTAGATCTAAGGTCTAAACTAATTTGTTTTGTTGGGTTTGTTTAGAAAAACTTTCACTAAAAGGGACAAACCAATGAGCAGTTCCTCTAAACAAAAATGGATAGCCTAAACCAAATAGAAAGTTGCTTTTTATCTGCATTTAGCAAAGATGAAGTCCATAACCTCTCACTTCTTAGGGACGGCTTCTGGTTTCTTCAAAGGAAGATTTGATAAAAGTTTCTAAGAATAGAAATACTGGAAGCTGATGGAGCATATTTGTACTGTTTGCTAAATACAGTCATATCCAAAGATCTATAGAAATGATAGGAAGGAATTGTTTTTTGAGTTCTTCAGTCATATACAGTTAACAAAAGTAATACTGTTTAGAGTAGCAGTGCTATTACGAGAGTTTGACTCTACTTTGAATATCCTTAATGTGTTTCCAGCTGTCCACACATGCAGTTGGCTGATCCTTACTTCACTTTGTTTTTGTAGTGTACTAGTAGCAATACTTTATTAGTTTACTTCTTTTTTTCTCCTCCAACTTTCAAAATTAATTGGAAGAGAAACAGAGTTGAAATCGTAGTTACTAGGCAGGCATTTTTTTGTTTACAAGCAAACCTCCTCATCTTGAACACCTGCACATGTTTGTTCTGACCTCTCTACATGTAGACAACAGACACTGGAACTGACCTAGGCGTCATCCAGTACATAGCAGAGTTAGAGTCTGCGATTTGTGACAAGTGCCAGGGTAGTGGGTTTTACAGATAAACCTCTTTAATGAAAAGTTGCATTGTAAAACACAAGCTCAACTACAGTGTAAATTTTTTTTTCATGTGGACTGTGTTATTTAACAACTTTTTTTTCCTGATTATTTTAACTTTTTGTATAAATCTAAAATTTATGGTGCCTGTTGAAGTGCTTGATTCATGTTAGCCACCTGTAGGGATAACTAGTCTGTAGCAAGTTACCATGGGTCATCACAGGAAGTTACTGTGACCATTTTCAGTGTTTGTTTTTTTTTTTTTAAACTACTGGTTTAGTGGGGTTTTAGCTATTAGTTCTGAGAATTTAAAGGTGATTAGTTCAGACTATACTCCCCAAATTAATAGTATCATCTAAGCATGTGTTTTGTGGCTAGCATTAAGTCACTTAAAAAACAATCAAAAAACTCACCACACAAAAACACAAACCTAATCAAAGATAGTTTTAAAACCTATAGCTGCTGAATTGTTCAGGAAAATCAGACTTCTCAGTTTCGTACTTAGACTTTATCTGTTGTTATTTAATAATGCAAAGTTTATATGAAAGGTGCCTAACAGCTATTAACTTAGAAGCAGTATATCTTTCCAAATTAAGCAAGATTTGCAGAATGGTTGAATAAAGTTTAAAAAAATTTAAGTGATTAATCTTGATTTCATATAAAATATTTAATTCTGTGTATAAATACTCAATATAATACTTAAATACTCAATGCTGGATGTATCTCATTTTTGCTTGTATATCTAATTGCTTCATTTTGGTATATTTCTGAAACCCATTATGCCATGTGTAGTCACTGATATAATTTCTGAAATATTTTTTGAAAACAAACTTTAATTTGGGACTAATTGTTTTCAAACACATCAGCCACCTTTTTGCCAGGTATTTGGGTTGCTTTGTACAGCATATCTTAGCAGGAGGAATGTGTGCAATATAGATCACCTCAGTTTTGTCTGGCAACGTTATGAAAATGTTAAGATGCAATATCTTCCTTTCACTTCCAGTTGGAAAAATTGCAGTATCTCTAATTTGGTGGTGTATTTATTTTTATCTATTCAGTGTATGGGCATATGGTTAGTTAAGGTTTTTTTATGTACATTATGTGCTTTTAGTAATTCCTGAGTTTTATCACTTTTGTGGATGCACCAGTTGTACCCATTTGCATGTTATTTCAGTATGAAGACCATGGGGAAGGGGGGGCTTCAGGAAAGATTTCTGGAAACCGGGAATGAGTCAATAAGTGTAGATACTGCATCATTAACGTTTTTGGTATGGTATGGATTTTATAGCACCTATGTATGTTTGCAGTTAAGTTATTGCATAAATGTTTAAGAATGAGCATTTTTTCATCCAAAGTTTTGTATGTTTGCAAATATATTTTTGTAATAAAACTTCAAAACAAATGTTTCAGCACCTCCTAAAATCTTCCAGTGTTTCCTTTTATTTCTAGAGCTGTAGTAGCCTGCTAGAAGGGTAAGTTCAGATTTTATTTAGGGTTAATATTTTCCAGGGAAGAAACTCAAACCATACCGGGAGCAAAAACAAACTGCATTTATTCACTTACAAAAATGCAGCATGCCTGCTTGAAGGACAGTTGAGAAGAGCATCTGTCACTTGTAACAGCTTCTGGCTATCCTCTCTATTTCTGTAAGTAAGCTTGCATTATGAATTTGATAAACAGACCAATTTCTGTTTATCAAATCTTTCATGCTAAGAAATGCAGCTGCAAGTTCACGGTCTTTTAAGTACAGCTGTAACTGGTTTTAGTGCCTTATCACTTTTTTAATGGTATCACCTCTCATCTGTCTAGACATGGCATATGATACCCAATCTAGTGTTGGTCTCCGATTATAGACTTTGGAAACTGCAGCTGTCCTTTTACCATATCTGATTGGTATCATGCAACTGATTGATCCAAATTTCACAAATAGGGAAGCTGAGGAGGAGGAAAACCCCAGCAGAAGTTCTGTTGGAATAGTTTTTGAAATTAAACAAAACCTTATGCCAGAGTCCCTCAATCTTAGCTAGATGCTTGTTCCCATTCTAACTACCCATAAGAGTCAGAGATTGCGAGGCATACCAAATGTCAGGAGAGGCCACTGAAGAATGGTTTGCTGCTCTAGTAGTTAATACTGAACTGGCTCCTGTACTATATACAGAAGCAGATTCTTCTAATAGAAGACTACCATACAAAACAAGTACAAAAGTAATGGATTTACTGGAAGATAATTGAGGAAAAAGTAGAAATGGCTAAGGTCTAGAATCTAATTTTAAATTTGTCAGATGTGTTGCCCATTTGGTCAATATTGAGGAAGCATTTTTTTCATTGTTGATGTTGTTAACTTTTTTGTCTTCTGGATTCAGGTATTCCTGGTTACTGTTATTCCTATGAAGTGCTCCCACTTGGTTTGGAAATAAGA